GAATTCCATACCACATACCTAGAAGAAAAGTATGCGAGTACATAGGAAAGCTGTATAGCTGTAGACTTTGTGTCTGCATGGAAAAAACGTGCATCGAGCATGGCTGTGGCCATAGAAACAGACAGGAGTGCTCCTTTTTTTTCTTTTTTTAGTTGAAAGTCAGTTTTCTATTTTGATTTAAATTACGGTGGAAGCTTAGAAGGCCGCGGAAACCAAACTCTTTAAAGTCCAGTGTAATGTTTTCATAGTCAGTGATGATCAGGAGTGCTGAGTCATCTGCTTACGTTGGTCTATTGTGTTTGTTTTGAGGTCCACCAGCAAACATGTCATTTTAGAGGATCTGATCTGCTTAGAAGTTTTATGAAGTTGCTGGTTTTATTCCTCAGCGGGACTTAGAACCTTCACGTTAGACTAGGGGTACCCAAAGCGGTTACCATGACCATGATGTGCTCAGCATTACCTCCTGAACTAAACCTCATTCTGACTCTACTAAATATGATAAAAGATACCAGATCCAATAACGGACTTTCTACACAGCAAAAACGATCTAGAAGTAAGCAAACATTTATTAAGTGTATTTTACCTTAATTTGATTATGTGATTCAAATGATTTGCAAATGGAATTTGTTTTTTACCCTTAAAATAACATCATTAGATAATATACACTTGGAATAAGACAATGCAATTGTTTTTTTTCTTATTTTAAGTGTAAATAGTCTTGTTCCATTGGCAGAGTGTCTCACTTATCTCCTCAATTCAAGGAAAAATGCACTTATTTTAAGAAAAAAAAAATGTTTTTTCACCTCAGCTCCAAGAATGGAGGATAAAACTTCTCAGCTTTAATCCTCATTTTTAAATCTTACTGTCAACTTTAGCTTTAACAAACCTGAGGAACTAATATGGCCTGATTAGTGCACAAAATCTCCTTTTTTATTTATAGTTTTTTGCTTATTAAATCTGCCTGATCCAGGGCTGTTTTCGTTAGTAAATATTCAATTGTCTAATGATTCAAAATTGACTTTACTTCTTAGGGACGTGAGGAAATATAGACATAAAACAGAAGATAATATTTTGGAGTTGTTTTTCTAAATGCAATCATAGTATTCTTTGTTTGATTACAATGCTGCAATCATGAAGGTGTGTGTTTTATATGTGAAACATTTAGTAAAAAAACAAGCACAATATCTTATAAAAGTGGGAACGCCCCTCACAGTTTTGTAAGTTTAATTTTGTATTATAAAACTGAATATCTGAGATGCTGGGCCTGATCCCAAATAAGGAGTGTGTGAAAGGAGTAGTAAAAGCTGAACAGACTAATCTACAGCAACAGATAAGAGACTATCTGCCTTTTCACTCTTCATAGAGTGACATACAGGTGCTGGTCATAAAATTAGAATATCATGAAAAAGTAGATTGATTTCAGTAATTCCATTTAAAAAGTGAAACTTGTATATTATATTCATACATTACATACAAACTCATATATTTCAGATGTTTATTTTGTTTAATTTTGATGATTACAAATGACAACAAATGAAAATCTCAAATTCATCATATCAGAAAATTAGAATATTGTGAAAAGGTTCAAAATTGATGGCCCCTGGTGCCACACTCTAATCAGCTAATTAACTCAAACCACCTGCAAAAGCCTTTAAATGGTCTTTCAGTCTAGTTCTATAGGCTACACAATCATGGGGAAGACTGCTGACTTGACAGTTGTCCAAAAGACGACCATCGACACCTTGCACAAGGAGGGCAAGACACAAAAGGTCATCGCTAAAGAGGCTGGCTGTTCACAGAGCTCAGTGTCCAAGCACATTAATAGAGAGGCGAAGGGAAGGAAAAGATGTGGTCGAAAAAAGTGTACAAGCAAGAGAGATAACCGCACCCTGGAGAGGATTGTGAAACAAAACCCATTCAAAAATGTGGGGGAGATTCACAAAGAGTGGACTGCAGCTGGAGTGAGTGCTTCAAGAACCACCACACACAGACGTATGAAAGACATGGGTTTCTGCTGTCGCATTCCTTGTGTCAAGCCACTCTTGAACCACAGACAGCGTCAGAAGCGTCTAAAGAGAAACAGGACTGGACTGCTGGTGAGTGGTCCAAAGTCATGTTCTCTGATGAAAGTAAATTTTGCATTTCCTTTGGAAATCAAGGTCCCAGAGTCTGGAGGAAAAGAAGAGAGGCACTTCATCCACGTTGCTTGAAGTCCAGTGTAAAGTTTCCACAGTCAGTGATGGTTTGGGGTGCCATGTCATCTGCTGGTGTTGGTCCATTGTGTTTTCTGAGGTCCAGGGTCAACGCAGCCACATACCAGGAAGTTTTAGAGCACTTCATGCTTCCTGCAGCTGACCAACTTTTTGGAGATGCAGATTTCATTTTCCAACAGGACTTGGCACCTGCACACAGTGCCAAAGCTACCAGTACCTGGTTGAAGGACCATGGTATCCCTGTTCTTAATTGGCCAGCAAACTCTCCTGACCTTAACCCCATAGAAAATCTATGGGGTATTGTGAAGAAGAAGATGCAATACACCAGACCCAACAATTCAGAAGAGCTAAAAGCCACTATTAGGGCAACCTGGGCTATCATAACACCTGAGCAGTGCCACAGACTGATCGACTCCATGCCACGCCGCATTGCTGCAGTAATACAGGCCAAAGGAGGCCCAACTAAATACTGAGTGCTGTACATGCTCATACTTTTCATGTTCATACTTTTCAGTTGGCCAACATTTCTATAAATCCTTTGTTTTTATTGGTCTTCAGTAATATTCTAATTTTCTGATATGATGAATTTGAGATTTTCATTTGTTGTCATTTGTAATCATCAAAATTAAACTAAATAAACATCTGAAATATATGAGTTTGTATGTAATGTATGAATATAATATACAAGTTTCACTTTTTAAATGGAATTACTGAAATCAATCTACTTTTTCATGATATTCTAATTTTATGACCAGCACCTGTAACTCTACACAGGGTTGCCTCTTAATGTTTTTTAATGAGCTAGAGAGCCACCTGCTGGTGAAGGGGGGTAATATCATTTTCACTTAATATTAGCTTCTATATTTTTCACATCTATCTTTCCTGCATGTTTGCTGAAGTAACATTTGAACTAAAATAGTGTTTCTTAACTAAATGTAGCTTAGTGCATCATCTAAAACAGGCTATAATGTTGATCTGCTTTCATCAAATAAAGCTGAACCAGTTATGCAGCTAACATAAGCCTCACACTTAGTCCAACTTTGCATTTAAAGACTAAACTTATTTAATTTCTCAGTCTTCCACACAGGCGCATGTTTAGCTCTATGCAGTCTTTTGGTAAAGCATCTGATCCCTCTGTTTGCTTATTTATTTATTTCTATGGGCATGTCTTTGGAAAGCCTAAGAATTATAACTCAGCTGTCTAAACTTCTGGCTTACAGGCTGAACTATACTATCCACTTGAAGTTTGTAAATAAATCCTTTAACAACACGATGCAGATGTTGTGGGGAGGCAGAACCAGTGTGGTGCACAGTGGGGTTTTGCCTGGCAGGAGAAAAAATGTTTAACATCCAGCTATTTAGCCAACTATTAGGCCTCCAATTATGTTTAACCTTAATTAAGTCCAGGGTTGATTGCCTTATGGACTGGAATGGCAAGGTGGAGAAATTATCCTCCGGATTCCAGGCAATCAAGTTAATAACAACAATAATAGCAATAGATCTATCCAGGATGTATAAATGTACCGCAAAGTACTATAAACATTTTATAAATTAATACCTGCTTAGGTAATTTTACATTTATACAAGCTGAACAGTGATTACAGTGTGTCATAGTATCAGCTCTCTCTCTCTCTCTCTCTCTCTCTCTCTCTCTCTCTCTCTCTCTCTATATATATATATATATATATATATATATATATATATATATATATATATAGTGTCCATCCATCCATCCATCCATCCATCCATCCATCCATCCATCCATCCATCCATCCATCCATCCATCCATCCATTCCTTCCATGTTTTTATGTATCCATCCATCCATCCATCCATGTTTGAATGTATCGATCCATCCATCCATTCCTTCCATGTTTTTATGTATCCATCCATCCATCCATCCATCCATCCATCCATCCATCCATCCATCCACCCATCCATCCATCCATCCATCCATCCATCCATCCATCCATCCATCCATCCATCCATCCACCCATCCATCCATCCATCCATCCATCCATCCATCCATCCATCCATCCATCCATCCATCCATCCATCCATCCATTACTGCTTATGCAGGGAAAATATGCAAACACAGAAACCCACTGGGCTGAGGAATATATAATGTGACCCCATGAAAAAAGCACATTTATAAAAATCTGAGGGTTGTACTTCCTGCTCTGGACTGTTAAATGTTTGCATCAGCTGGGTTACAATCTACAATCATCTCACTCTGTTGAAAACAGGAACCAGCCTACTCAAAACATCTGGCCTCTCCCAGCTGGAGAGTTCATGTTATTCTTCTACTGTTTTAAAACACAACTTTTTATAAAACTGATTTAAATAATTAATAATTGTGCAGTTTTCTTTTATTTAATATAAAATAAATATTGTGTGCTGAATAAAAAAAGAGCATTTTGCACACCCTTTTAATGTGCTTTATATCAATTCTGACAATGCTTTTTAAAATTTATCATCAATGTATTTTTTTGTAACTGTGGAAATCATCTTTTTTATGGTAAATCAAAAAGGGTGTTAGAAACACAAACATTGCACCATAATGATAACAGTCATGATAATACACAATATGTTGTACTGGAAAGTTGAAAATATAATATTAGTAGTAATTTTGATGGTAGATTAGAAAATTTTGTTAACAAATCTCACTTAAGCAAATAAAAACCTTTTATACAAGCTATATTACAACCCATTGACTTAATCTTTAGGTATTAGTGAGCGCACTGAAAATCTGGCTTTTATTGTGAAAATCTGCTCTTAAACCGGAAGTCTTTACGTCCTGTTAAAAAAAAAAAAAAACCCTCCGAAACCCCAAAGCTCCAACATGTATTTACTAAATTGAACATGTAAAAGTAAAAGCATCCCTCCGGAATTTATACCGCGACCAAAGGACGCGTTAAAAGCAACTTTAATCTCGTAAGCTCCATCCGTCGGTTGTTATTAAGCCGTAATGGCTGCCACCCCTCCCGGACAAGGCTTCCCGAACAAGACTCGTGTGGCCATCTTGGCAGAGCTGGACAAGGAGAAGAGGCGGCTGATGCAGAGCCAGTCCATGAACAACCCCGGAGCCAACATCCCCATGTCGGCCCGGAGCAGCCTGAAGGAGGCAAGGGACAGCGCGGAGCAGCAGCACATCGCCGCCCAGCAGAAGGCCGCCCTGCAGCACGCCCACATCCACTCCTCCGGCTTCTTCATCACCCAGGACTCCTCGTTCGGGAATCTCATCCTCCCGGTGCTCCCCAGGCTGGAGCCCGACCTCTGACTCCTCATCCTTCCGGTGCTCCCCAGGCTGGAGCCCGATCTCTGACTCCTCATCCTCCCGGTGCTCCCCAGGCTGGAGCCCGACCTCTGACTCATCATCCTCCCGGTGCTCCCCAGGCTGGAGCCCGATCTCTGACTCCTCATCCTGCCTGTGCTCCCCAGACTGGAACCTGACATCTGACTCCCCATGCTCCCAAACTCTGACTCCTCATCCTCCCGGTGCTCCCCAGGCTGGAGCTCGACCTCTGACTCCTCATCCTCCCGACCTCTGACTCCTCATCCTCCCGGTGTTTCCCAGGCTGGAGCCCTATCTCTGACTCCTCATCCTCCCGGTGCTCCCCAGGCTGGAGCCTGACCTCTGACTCCTCATACTCCTGGTGCATCCCAGGCTGGAGCCCGACCTCTGACTCCTCATCCTCCTGACCTCTGACTCCTCATCCTCCCAGTGCTCCCCAGGCTGGAGCCCGACCTCTGACTCCTCATCCTGCCTGTGCTCCCCAGACTGGAACCTGACATCTGACTCCCCATGCTCCCAAACTCTGACTCCTCATCCTCCCGGTGCTCGACAGGCTGGAGCTCGACCTCTGACTCCTCATCCTCCCTACCTCTGACTCCTCATCCTCCCGGTGTTTTCCAGGCTGGAGCCCTACCTCTGACTCCTCATCCTCCCGGTGCTCCCCAGGCTGGAGCCTGACCTCTGACTCCTCATACTCCTGGTGCATCCCAGGCTGGAGCCCGACCTCTGACTCCTCATACTCCTGACCTCTGACTCCTCATCCTCCCGGTGCTCCCCAGGCTGGAGCCCCACCTCTGATTCCTCATCCTCCCGACCTCTGAATCCTCATCCTCCCGGTGCTCCCCAGGCTGGAGCCCCACCTCTGACTCCTCATCCTCCCGACCTCTGACTCCTCATCCTCCCGGTGCTCCCCAGGCTGGAGCCCGACCTCTGACTCCTCATCCTCTCGGTGCTCCCCAGGCTGGAGCCCGACCTCTGACTCCTCATCCTCCCGGTGCTCCCCAGGCTGGAGCCCGACCTCTGACTCCTCATCCTCCCGGTGCTCCCCAGGCTGGAGCCCGACCTCTGACTCCTCATCCTCCCGACTTCTGACTCCTCATCCTCCCAGTGCTCCCCAGGCTAGAGCCTGACCTCTGACTCCTCATACTCATGGTGCTTCCCAGGCTGGAGCCCCACCTCTGACTCCTCATCTTCCTGACCTCTGATTCCTCATCCTCCCGACCTCTGACTCCTCATCCTCCCGGTGCTCCCCAGGTTGGAGCCTGACCTCTGACTCCTCATCCTCCCGACCTCTGACTCCTCAACCTCCCGGTGCTCCCCAGGTTGGAGCCTGACCTCTGACTCCTCTCCCCGCCTATCTGACCCTGCTGGTCTAAAACCAGACATTATCAGGCTTTCTTTCTCATGTTTATGCTGTTTATTTCTGCAACGTTTCAATCTTTACCATGGCAACGTGCAGCAATATGGTTTGTTTTGTGTAAATAAGAAATTCTAAGATTTCCATGATGTTTATTATTATTTTGCCTCTTCTCTGAAAGTAGTGAATGTTATTCTAAGATTTCAATTTTGTTCTTTTTAAAGCTGCCACCACTGAAGTAAATAAATTATTTTTATTAGTATAAATCTAAATTTTGTTGTCTGTCTTTAACTATTTATCTAATTCTCCTTTTTTGATTTTTTTTTTAATGATGTTTATAAAACAATCCTAGATTTGCCTCCTTTGAACCTACAGCATAAGTAAAATAAACTGTGGGTCAGGGACTTTTTAGTAATGGATTTTTTCTTTTTTATGTGAGTTACTAAGCCATATCAGGATATAGTTTAACGTTTTAAGATTGACTTTCTGTACTTTACTATAGGTTCTGCTTTAAAGTCGTAGGGAAGTCATATTTAAATTTTAAATTATTCTGGCTTAAACATATATATAAATGTACTCTTTATCAGACCATATTGTCCCAAAAAATAGAACATTTCTATAAAAAAAAAATCCTGTCTTAAAATCTGTGTTTTCTTCCATTATCTTATGCAGGCCAGTTAGTTATACATCAGCCTGTACACCTAAATTCGGCCAATAATTTATCAATGGTCATCTGTCAATCAAATTTTTTTGATTATAGCATCTTGGTTTATATGTCCCAGCTAATATGCGCAATGGTTGAAATAAGAATAATTTCTAATTTTTAACCCAACTATTAGCTTCGTTTGACCTGATATGTTTTCAGGTCAATATGCAGTGCTGGGCACTAGGGCTGAAACAATTAATCAGATTCATCATGATTAATCGATTATTGACAAAATCATTAACTAATTTAGTAATCGATTAATTGTTAACTGGAGTATAGAGACTAAAATAGGCCCTTAGCTGACATAGCAACCCAATTAGAGTAGTAATTATATCAAAATTGTAAAAAAAAAAAAATATATATATATTTTATTTTTTTATTGACTTAGATTCAACTTTATTTATCCCCATGGTTACTCCTTCAGGGAAATTCTGGAATTTAAGATAAAAAAAAAAAAAAAAAAAAAAAAAATTGTCAATGGGCTCTATCCAGAATTCTGAATGAAAAAGTTTGATTTTTTCGTAAAAAAAAGTCTTTAAGGAATCTTTGGCTATCTGATTTTTAATTAAAAAAAATATCGAAAAATTAATCGATTTGCAAAATAATCATTAGTTTGCTGCCTTCCTTGACACATTGAGATGGTGCCAAGAATCGTTGGTTCTGATGTAGTCAAGGGGATAAATGTGGCCCTAAATTTGCATATAACTCCACAACTTCTCAATCTGATTTTCCATAAATGTCTTCTGTCAGATTCCAAATCTCTCAAGATGCAAACGGTTAAATCCTGCGACAGTAAACTCGTTAGTTAAACCCCTGGTAAAGTTAAAAGTTACAGAGTGTTGCTTGAACAAGCATGAAAAGAATGAGCATTTCCATAACTGGTGTGAAAGTAGGGAACATTCAATGTCGAAGCTGTTTTGGAAAAGGCTCAAACTGGCTTTCTTAAATAGATATGAGATGGAAGAAGGGCGGCGAACATTAATGGGTGCTCTAAGTCCCAGTACATGGCTGCATAGCTATATATTTTCGCAATGGTTGTGGTCGTGTGGGCTATAGGTAATAATTGCATGAATGATGTGTAAACACCTGGAAATGAGTATATGTTTGTTCATATTGACACAAACAAATGTATTTTGTTACTTCAATAGACTTTTGAAGTGTGGACTTATAAGTAAAGTAGGAATCAGGGAGATTGTTGATGTTAAAGACCACAGGAAGAAGAAGGGTTATAACTGAAAAAGATTCATTTTATTATACCCCCTTTTTAGACATAAGCACTCGGTTCTACATCATATGTAATAATATATATTATTAACTGTACATAATGTTTGTATGTGTTAGATTTGTAGCTTTACTTTGTGGTCGAAAATAATTCATTCATTTGTGCATTAATTCAATGACAAAAAAGAATGAATAAAAAATATGGTAAAATAAAGAGAAAAAGGAAAAGGCACTAACATTATTGGTAATAATAATGATAATATTAGTAAAATAAAAGAAGAAATTATGTCAATACAGGGTTTATTGATAATAACAATGGCAGTAAGATGATGATATGCAGTGTAGTGATATCAAGAAACTAAATATCCCTTCCTTTTTATTAGTGTTGCACCGATACCAGTACCAGGCAGGACCCCGATACAGCACTAAATTGGATAGTATCGGTATCGGCGGGTACCAACAAATAGGGCACTGATACCATTTTGTCAGAATTCTGAGATTAAATTCAGAATTGTGAGAAAAAAAGTCAGAATTGTGAGAAAAGAAGTCAGAATTGGGAGATTTAAGTCAGAATTGTGAGGGGAAGAAAAGTCAGAATTCTGAGATTACAGTCAGAATTCTGATTGTTTTCTTATATAATACAGAAATAACATTTAAAATCAGTTAACTCTTTTAATTTTTTTCAGTGGCCCTAATCCTCTTCCGTATTTTCCATGATCCCTTCAATATGTAGTAAAAAAATCTTGCTTTGTCCTATTTCATTGGTTCTACACCTCCAGCCCGGTAGGTGGCGGTAAATGCCACTATAGTTGGTTTGCAAACCTCTGAGTTAATACTAAAGAAAAAAAAAAACACTCTGCACTCGATTGCTCTTCCCTTCCCTGGAGCGGATGCCAGAGCCAGGGTTGCCGCTGATGCAACCTGCTGACAGGTCCGCTCTCAGCCGGCTGCTTCTCTTCTCCACCATTCATTTCAAGACCACAGACTTATAGGTAAGCTGTCAAAATGTTGTTTTAAAGAAAAACCGATTGGAATATTTGAAAGGTGAAGCTAACGTTAGCCGAACAAATATCAAGTTTCTGTCATCGTTTCGGTATAGTTAGCTGCACATGGTTTTGCTGCTAACTAGCTGAAGTCTTGTCTTTTCCACATTCATTCATCATTTTACCGACTTGTTTTCTTTTTCAAAGTGGAGGCAGTTAAGCAAACAGAGTCTAATAAAGTATAAAACAAAATAGACAATTTAGTGTTGATTCATAGCTAAATGTTTAAGGTGTGCGTCATCATTCTCTGTTTAATCCTGCTGTTACTACAGTAAGATCAGGATCAGGCTGTTTTAATGTAGTAAACAAAGAGTGCTGTTGTTTAAAATGATTTATTATCAGACCAGATTAAGGAATCTAACTTCTAAACCATCTTTCTGATCAGAGATCCCAGAACCATGGCTGATCAGCTGAGTCCAGAGGAGAAGTTCACCCTCATCACCAGGAACCTGCAGGTGAGCCCTCCCCCTCATCATGTGTCTGCATCCATCGGTCAGTGTCTTCATTCTGGGGCTGGTGGATGTTGCAGGAGGTCCTCGGTGAGGAGAAGCTGAAGCAGGTTCTTCAGGAGAGGGAGCTGAAGGTGTACTGGGGTACAGCGACCACCGGCAAACCGCATGTGGCTTACTTTGTCCCCATGTCCAAGATAGCAGATTTCCTGAGGGCCGGATGTGAGGTGAGAGCAAAGTATTGACAAATACAGTACACTTTTTATGTGATGGACCATTAAAGGGAACATATTTCTGCAGGAGGAGCTCCATGTCTTTCAGGGTGTGTCTCTTTCAGTCTTATACTTCTAGACGGATTTGTTTTTTCCCACATTCTGCTTTACAAAAAGGCTCAACCTTATTTAACCTTGGTGTGAAGTGTCTATCAGCATAGTTTATAAAAACATTCCCACAGCATGCTGCTGCCACTCCCATGTTTCCCATTGAGTGTTGGTATGTACAGGAGCATTGTTTGAAGCATGGAATAATTTTGACATTTAAATTGTTTTCTTTTTTTATTTTGACTGCTGATTTTCAATTTTATTAATTTTTTTTTTAGTTTTAAGTATTTTTTAGCTAGTTTAGTTTTTATAATATATAGCCTAGTAAACTAGCCCCACCCGCCGAAATCATTTTTGCCTGTGAATTTGGTTTAGCCTAGCTCAATGCCCCAGGCCCTAGAACTGGTGGTCCAATCACAACACAGAGATGTGTTTTGAATTTCTGGATACAAAGCGGGTGGGGTTTTGAGGGCGACTAAGCTGCACGACGCTGGAGAGAGCATAACAAGGAAGATGGCAACCACTATTGAACATTTATCGTATGACTCAGCTTTGGAATCTGTTTTGAAGGATTAGACTTGAGGTTTTCGTTGAAACGTGAGCAGGAAGAGGCTCTACGCTTATTAATTTTTAAGAAGGACGTATTCACCGTTTTACCGACAGGCTGTTTGTTTACACTCCCCCACCAGCTTTCTGTGGTGCTTACTACATCACAGTCAGTTGCTCTCATTGGTCAGAGCATTGGCCAATAGGCACAGACAGGGTTTGAAAAACATCGGGTTGTTCTCATCAACAATATTCGGATGTCTCATTCATCAGGGCCAGACTAAATTACACATTTAATATCACTTTTACTCTGGTTTATTAGGCTATTTAATGTATTTAAAAAGAAATAAAATCTCTAATGAAGACAGAGTGCTGCAGTAATTCAAATTACCTGACTGCTTTACCTGCCTGTAGTACAGCAAAAGAAAGCAAAAACGGCAACCAGAAACTGGATCTCATATTAATGCATTATGATAAAGACACAAACTAAAACCAAAATCATTC